GACATAATCAGATTGTTGTTTATTAAAAAGTTTAATAAGTATACAATATATGAACAGAAAAAAACATAAGAATGTACAAAAAAGTCATAACAGAAAGAATAATTATGACAAATAGCAATACAATATGTAGAAAAATAACTTTGCATATACAGTACAGCAAAAAAACACCTCAAAGGAAACTGATTTGATTATACTTAAGACAGATAAAGCATGTAGAAACAAGCATTTATACATATGCATAGAACAATACAATCATTTTGGGGACACAATACACTAAAAACACTTAGGTTGCTATAAAACATTTCAGAGAAATGCAATATTGAAAAAAAAACTTTTAAAATGGAACAAAGTAAACTTTGAGAATAAAATGTAGTGAACAGAAAGTAACCACAGATAGATTCTGACCATAAAGGAGAAAAATACATTGTTGGTTAAATCAGAATTTGTAAAATAAAAAAGGTAAAATAGTAACAAGAAATTTAACAAAAGCTAAACATTAAAGCTGAAACTTTGATTCTTCTGCTGTTTAGCTGAAAATACAAAAAGAAAACATGGTCTCAAGATAATTTTGGTATTTAAATGAAAGGATTGAACAAAACNTGTCTGTTTTATTGTGTCCTGCAAACAAGAACACTCATCAATCCTACCATGCAGACGTGTTTATGTCAGAGGATACGATTAAACTCTGACACCAGCAGACCCAAAGCATACAACATAACCGTAAACCTTACTTGCAGTTTAATTTCGGTTAAAACCAAAGGAGAAGAACTCAGTCGGCCAACAAAGCAGCTGGTGTTTTGACCATATTAAAGTATTTTTATTGAAAAAAAGAAACTTAATGTTAACAGATGTTTCTTAAATTTAATCTTAATGTTTATTCAAACTGATAAAAAGTCACAGATGAATAAAAATAACTCATACTCACTTAGATGATCAGATCTCTGCGTTGCCTCTTTGGTAAAGAGTGAACTGAGACGTGGTTTCACTTCTTCATTTTGTGTCTGTAAGAGTCCAGCACAGTTTAGCATCTCCTGCAAGTCTTGGTGGTGACTCATAAATATGGTTATGTGGTGAACATACACGTATGTTTACATTTGTTTTCACACCAGAATGTAGGCTCTTGTTAACTCACCAAAAAGGAGACTGGTTTCCTGGGAGGAGGAACTTACTTTTGGAATGGAAAAAACCCATTGTTGTTGGGTTTTTTTTTTTTTCGTGTGGATGTTCCTCTTTAATAAAAAGAGAGTTAAATACTTTTTCATCTGCTTTTGGCTGACTTCTAC